GACTCACCAAGTATAGGCACTTCTTGCCACTTGTCCACCCTAGGATTGGCTTGAGATATCAATATTCTGATTGATCTAAATCCTCTTTTGATTCATCTGAAGTTGTAAATCAGTCTTGTATATGATATTAATCCTGTGTAGACCCATCTAAAGTTATATACATAAATAAATATGATTTTGATATTCCAATTATATTTTAAAGGGTTCAAGATATTTCCTATCAAATATGAAATAATTTTAGCACCAATGTCTTGTATGTCAACTCCTTTTTAAGAAAACATTTTAATTGACAAATTGTAATTGTATACATCACGGGGTACAGGATATTTCCACACAAGTGTTGGTTGTATAACGATCAAGTCAGGATAATTAGCATATCCATTATCTCAAACATCTGATGCTATTCTAACACTTCTTTACTCTCAGGTTCTTTTGATAGAAAAACACTAAAAATTAAAAAAAATGTCTAGGATATACAAACAAACTGAGTTAGTTAAGAGAATATTAAAAAAAAAAAAAGATATCAGCCAAGAAGTCATGGACAGTAGATCGCAGGTGGCAAATGATTATGAAGTGCATGGTCAGAATGAGAAGCAGCTATCACCACCCTTGGCTGGGAACCGGAGAAGAGTGCAGTAATGTGATTATGGTAATGATTCAACAAGTCATCGTCTGCTGCCTTTGTTCACTGTAATTAACTTTTTGGAATTGCGCAGCCTCTGTCTTTGGGCTCATCAGCTGGCCCAGCTTTTGTGTCCCCAGTCTGTCATTTCTTAGGAGCCTCTAAGTGCATTGCTAAATGAATTCATTGCTGGAACAAAGATTTGGTGGTCGAATAGAGATGGCTATCTTTTGTTGTCAGACATTCAATCCCATATAGCAATCCAATTACTTAAGCTGTTTCTATCAGTCTTATTAGGACTGGCCATTCAGGCCAGCTAGAATGCCGATCGCTGTGTCTTGGAAGAATGTGGTGGAACAGATTAGTGCTTTAATGAGAGGCTTTCTGAAGGCCAGGTCTTTTCCATTGTATATATATCGAGATCTAGGAATCATTTTTAGGCGAGGGCCTGGAGTCGCTGTTACAAAGACTGATCAAAGGGTGACTGGAAATCTGTACAATTGCTTGAAGAAATTTTATGGGTTATAAAATATTGGCATGGGTTCTGTCTGTTATGGGCTATCTGATGAAAATCTCTGGTAGGCTGGGAAAAGGAAATTGCTTATTGGCATTTATTCTGTGGGATGGATATCTTTGGAGTTTGCATTTGAACTCTTTCTTCACTGTGCTACAGGTCAAATTCTGTACTTAGTACTAACATTCCAGGAATGCGGGCTGCACAAAATCAACATAAGCCTTGCTCCATATTCTGCTACCCGGAAAAACATATTGTGAGAGAGTGGCTCAGGCAAGGGTGAATGCAGGATTGCTGAGAAAAGATAGCAGGGGTGGAGGAAGATTGCAATGGTTAATGTGTAGAAGTTGAGACCTGAAGTTAATGTGAGTGTGGGAGGGAAGTTAGCAATCACTCGGGACACTCTTGCTGTGACTACCAAGAAAAGAGGCTAACTGGTTTAAATGTTCAAAGAAACAATATCCAGCTTCCATATATCATGCCTATTGCTCTAGAAATGCTTCCAAATATCAGATGCACAGATTTATTTTAAAGGAAGCAAATTACTCATAATTGGAAGATTTTAAGTAAATAGAAAAACTAAAAAACAAACACCCACTTATTTTAGAATATTTTTAACAGACGCAAAAATGCCCCTCACCCATATTCAATAATTAATCATAGCTAAACTTGCAGCTATAATCCTAACTTTCCTGGACCAATCCCTGACTTTATATAACTTCATTTATTGCTATTATGACCTAAAAAAAAAGAACTCTTTAGAAAACCATGAACCTCAACAGCATTCTCATCCTTAAAAATATTAATATAATTATAATAAATATTCTTTAACATCCACCAATATTCATTTAGTGAAATCTCTCATAAGCAAAAGTTGTAAAAATATTTGCCTGATTTTTTTAAAGGTATTTTTGACATGGAATATTTTAGATAATTTTACATCATAAGTGCTCTGTTGCCAAGAGGTTTTTGCTCATCTCCTGCTATACAGATTTATTTTGGATTCCCTAAGGATACTGAAAATTAGAATAAGGATATATTAAATGGGAAATATATTTTTTTAAAAGAGAGAGTGAGAGAGAGGGAGAGAGAGAGAGAGAATTTTTTTAATATTTATTTTTTAGTATTTGGCAGACACAACATCTTTGTTTGTATGTGGTGCTGAGGATCGAACCCCAGCCGCACACATGCCAGGCGAGCGCGCTACCGCTTGAGCCACATCCCCAGCCCAAAGTGGGAAATATTTTAAAAATTAATCTTTAGTTAAAAAAGCCTTTCCATGGGTATAGATGCTTTAGTTTTTATGTTAGCATCTGTAAGACAGCTGGATACATTGGTGATAAAGAAACAAACATAACTGGTTCTTGAACTCAATTCCTTTGACCTTAGCAGTGTGTTCTTTCTCCTCACCCTTGATTTTCACTCTTTGTCAATATAATGATCTCTAAAAAAATTAAATTCTATTGACTTTGGAATTAGTCTGAGATTCAAATTCAGCAGGATTTGGTGATGGGTTAAAACAGTGGCTTGAAAGATAAAGGATGGATGCCTTCAATATGTGCAGACAAGGGTAACAGGTTTTCTCTCATCTGGAAGACAGAAGAAAAGGAAATAGAAAAAAGAACCCACAACAATAGGAGATCAATAAAGTAGTAGAAAGGGATTGAGAGAAAGGAAGGGAGGGAATGGGAAAGTACTGAGGAACAAAATCTACCAAATTATGCTATATTCATGTGTGAATATAAATGAGTCTCATTCTCTATATAATTACAATGCACTAATTAAAATAATAATAATAGTGAGAGAAGGGGCTGATTATGGTGGCACATTCCTGTAATCCCAGTGATTTGGGAGGCTGAGGCAGGATGGCAAGTTTGAGGCCAGGCTCAGCAACTTAACAAGGTCCTGTCTCAAAATGAAAGAAAAAAAAAAGGACTGGGAATGTAGCTCAGTAGTAAAGTGCCCCCGAGTTCAATCCCCAGTACCAATATTGAATTCCACTTTTATGCATAATTATAATGTACTGATTAAAAAATATATATGTGCTTCCCATTTCCTAAAAGATAGCTTGAACCTTCTCCTTGTTTTCATCCTATCTCATAATTGAAGCTAGTTTTATACCTTCTGCATCTGTGTGGAATAAATACCCAAGTAAAACCATAACTGAAATGAAACAAAAAAGACCTCATTCAAGTCATGTGTACCTTTGTGTATGTTGTGTATACATGTGTATATGTGTCTGTTTCATATGTGTGTGCATCTGTTTATACATATAAGTAGATATATGTGTGTGTGTGTGTTTGCCTGTTTGCTTCTGCTTGTGTATGTTTATTTATGTGTATCTGTGGGTATATATGGGTGAATGTATGTGTCTTGAATGTATGTACAAAAAATGAAAACGGAAGTCTCTCTTGGACTGTCCTAGTACTGTGCTCATTTCTTTACAAGGTGAAACCACAAGAACTAACAAATGCAGAATTCTGGTTTTTACTGAGAAATGCAAAGCCACTGGTGCCTGCTTTCTTTTGTTAAAAAAAAAAAAGAGTTGGAAAGGTCATCCAAGATAGGAATAAATGGAGGCAGAGGCAAATCAATGTTTAACTTGGAAATATTTTTCAGTTAATCATCTCTGACTGCTCACACTAAGAGGGCACTCTTAGAGTGTTGGCAGACTTGAACTGGAAGCTACTAAGCTTTTATTAAAATAGCCAAGTATCAGGATTTATACAATCAGAAATCCTGATGCACTGTAAGTTTAACTTAAAATGAGTGGGAAACCTTTTGCAAATAGATATATAGGGATATTTTGACACGTAGACTTGTGTTTCCAAGTATGAGGTTTGTGATACTATAGGACTTTTCTTGTTTTAGGCTTATCATAAAACCTGGAGACCTATACCTGGTAGGAAATTTGTTGAAAATATGGGAAATAATCTTGGAATTTGTGTTATGAATTTCTTTTCCTGTTTTCATGTCTGGTGTATGCAATTATATAAAATACTGCATAACATAGTATCTTAGCTTGAGGCTCTTTGATGGCAATTTCGGTTGTTTTACTACTATGAGGATTAAATTTTTCAGGAAGTTATGGAAACCTTATTGGGCCAATATTTGCTCTAATGGGCAAATAGACTTTTTTTTTTCTTTGTCTCCATTTTTGCTTGCTTGTAGATGGGCAGTGATGGGGATTCACTATGATTTTTGCCAGGCTTTGTTCTTTCTTCTATATGAGTGAAATAATTATCTGTCACACAAAAGGAGTAACTCTCTGGCCTTTGAATATAATGTGCCCATTACGTTCATGTAAAGCCAAGTTTGTAAAGAGATTCTTAGTCAGAGTGTCACCCTTGACTTACAGGCATTGTGCTGTGCCCTGTTGAACATATGGTGTGCTCGCCTGCAGCCCAGCACTCTTGAGAGTTCCCTATACCACGGGCATTGCTTTACAAGCAGAAAGTGATACAACTGGTGCCAAAGCTATGAATATTCTAGGAACCCAGAGATGTGTTTCCCTTATGAGACCTGGTCTCTCTAACAATCTGATTCTATATACACAAGTCAGCTTGTGATGATTTAGTAGTGGTAAGGTTCAGCAAAGCTGCATTTGAATTATTAGGAAAGTCTTAATTTTGGTTTTGTATTTGGGGAGCTTTAAAAGACCTGATTTTGAGTGCTTTTGAGGAATTCACATAGACCAGATGGATTTTATAGGAACTATGATAAATACCAGATTACATGGATCTCCTTTCTCATTCAAAAGACTGCATTCTCTGTCTTTTGTGTTCTTTTATGATGAATGAACAAAAACCCTGAAGGAACAGTGGGGAAAAAAATCGTTAATTCAGTTTGGATTTGGGTCTTTAATTTTGCAATGCTTTTACATAATGTCACTTTGTATTTTTATTTACTATTACATTGTTCAGTGCTTGGTTTTACTTCTCATTTTGTACTATCTCTCTGGCCATCGCCTCAGTCCACCAGTGTTGGGAGAGTTATGGGGTCATGATAAAAATCAGTAAAACCAAAAGGTGTTTACCTGCGTGGCCAAGGGTTTATCTGCCAAAATATCATGGAGTTACCTTCTGTGTAAGAATCGTCTATTCAGATTCTCTCGAACAGAGGACAAATAGTAAGGACTTTGCTTTATGTATCAGCACTGTGAAATAGCAAGCTACCCTAAATCTTGTGGCCCAATACAGGAATTTTATTTATTGCCTCTGGGTCAGATGGACAGCTCTTCTGATATTGGCCAGGCTCATGATGCATCTCTGGCTAGCTGTAGGCCAGACAGGGTGCTTATCTAGGTCGGGTTTTTTCACATGCTTGATGGTTGCTGACTGTAGGGTGGTCCACAATCATCTTGAATGGGACAGCTGGGATCTCTTCCAAGCATTTTCCCATCCTCCGGCAGGTTACTCTGGGCTATTTCAGATGGTGATGACAAAGATCTGGGTGAGAGAAGCATGCAAAACTTCTTGAGGCTCACACATGGAACTGACACACTAGTATTTCCACTGCACAGTTATAAGCAAGTCACAAGACCAGCCTGGATTCAAAAGGGAAGAAAATAATTCTTCCTCTTGATGGCAGGACTCCAGAATCACACGGGAGAGTGTGGACACACAGAGAACATTACTTGGCATCATCAATGCAAATGATCCATTGTATCTTAATTGGGAAATAATCTTCAATAAGGCTGGGATTTCTGCCCCAGGTCCAATTGCTGAAGCCATATTTTCCAACATGTGATCTATGGGTAACTCCTGCCTCAGATTCACCTGTAGGACTTGAAGTGTCCCAGATCTACTGAATTAGAATTTCTGGGGCTGGGTCTCAGAAATATGAATGTTAAACCTCATCCTCACCTCCCATTATAACTCTTAATATTCAGGTTTGAGAATCTCTGCTTTAGATTTTCCTGCTCAATACAACCATTGCAACAGGTAAGAAAGTATTTTTCTCATATATAAAAAACTGAAATTAATTACAAAAATATAGGTGGGCTGTTCTAGGGAATTGTCTTAAACAAATTTTCATCTTCTCCTGAGTTATAATAAATATAATATCTCAGAGCTACAACAGATTAACAATCAACTTAATCTGGTAGAGTTAGCTTGGTTAATTTCTTTTGCCCTTTTGACTTTGTACCTATAAGGGGCAACTAAAAACTGATGCCTCTCAAAGTTGAGTCACATCCTCTTCCCCAACAATAATGTCAAAGTCAACATTCCTATAGTTTCGTTGATGGTATGTGAAATCTAATCTTCAGAATTCTGTGTAACAAAGGTGAGAAATTAATAATTTTTATACTTAACAAGAAAAGAACACAGATATATGAAAGTTATAGGTTTTGTCCAGTGTTTCTCAGCAGGCAGGTATGGTGGTAAAAAAGGATGTCTTTAAACTTTTAAAATCCTAACCTTAATCATCAGCTCAAAAGCCTTAAGTAGGGGTCATCCAGATGCTCCACAGGTAGGACAGGTAGAGACAGGTGTGTGTGTGTGTGTGTGTGAGAGAGAGAGAGAGAGAAAGAGAGAGAGAGAGAGAGAGAGAGAGAGAGAGAGAGAGAGAGAGAGAGAGATGTGAGAGAGGAAGAGAGGTTCTATTTTTTCACTAGATACTTCTTTTGAGCCATTGGATAAAAGCTTTAAACACTCCAGAAGATTCTCTTGGAATCAAAAATATTTTAATGAGAACTAGAAGCAAAACGGATTTTGAAAAGGATAGCACTCAAGTAAATGAGTCTGTTTGGTGCCAGTTTTTATTGCTACCAACTTAGCTTTCACAGAAGACCAGATTGTCTTCTGAAAGTACTATTGGTTCATTCCTCCCTTGCTTGAAAACCCTTAATGGTGTCAATTGCCTCACTGGATTTGCAAGTTTCAAGTGCATCAGGGGCTAGGAAAAGCACAGTAATAGGGAGTGGTGGAGACAGTGGTAAACTGAAAAATGCATGTTCTCTTAAGAAGTTCTCAAATTCAGATTTTTAAAAGAAAAATTGCACATGGCCAATATAACCCATTTGTAGCTAGATTCTACTTTTTGACTACCTGGGGCCCTCTGGGCTGGCTCTAGTCCAAACCTATTATTCAGGCATTTAGATCTCTATGACCTAACATAGTACTGTGAATAGAATAGAATCCTCACATTGATTTTTAATGTAGCCAGTTATGGAGAAAGATCATTAGACTTCCAAATTGTTGGGATTGAATTCTGATTTTAACACTTACTGTGATAATATTATAGCTCAGATGAGTCATTTTATGGTCTCTAAACTGTGTTTGTTTTTCTTATGTACAATGTAGGCAGTGGACCTGCCCTGCTTAGTTTTTTATTTCTTAGGAAAAAAAAATGTCATTGAGATCTGTACCCAATACAACAGCCACTGACCCCACGGAGTGAGGGTTACTTAGGAATTATATTGTTTAATCACATATATATATGTTGTAGGTGAACACAATACCTTTATTTTATTTTTATGTGGTTCTGGGGATCAAACCCAATGCCTCACACATGCCAGGCAAGCACTCTATCACTGAGCCACAACCCCACCCAGCCCCTGAAATCATTTTTTTAAATTAAAAAAATATTTATTTGCAGATGGACACAATATCTTTATTTTATTTATTTTTATGTGGTGCTGAGAATCAAACCCAGTGCCTCACACATGCTAGGCAAATGTTCTACCAGTGAGCTACATCTCCAGCCCCTCTTTGAAATCTTGAGAATGTTTTTGGCACGATTTTTTTTTTTTTTTTTTTTTTTTGATGTTAAATCTTTTTTTTTTTTATTTTTTTTATTTTTTTTTATTGTTGGTTGTTCAAAACATTACATAGTTCTTGATATATCATCTTTCACACTTTGCTTCAAGTGGGTTATGAACTCCCATTTTTAGCCCATATACAGATTGCAGAATCACATCAATTACACATCCATTGATTTACATATTGCCACGATTTTTTTTTTTTTTACAAACTTTTTTTCTCTTTACACACTTTTTTTGTTGGTGCATTATAATTTGTTGATACATATTTGTATATGCACACATTATAACAATATAATTTGATCTATGTCAATCCCCAGCACTTCCCCTCCCTCCCCACCTCTCACCCCCTGCTTCCTTTCCTCTACTGATCTCCCTTTGATTTTCATGAGATTTCCTGCCCCCCATACCTTTCATTTCCTTTTTCCTCTCTAGCTTCCACATATGAGAGAAAACGTGAACTTTGACCTTCTAAGTTTGGCTTAATTTGCTTATTCCTGTGTTTAACATAGTGTTTCACTTAACATAATAGTTTCATCCATTTTCCTGCAAATGACATTTTATTTTTATTTTTGGCTGAATAAAACTCCATTGTGTGTAGATATACCACATTTTCTTTATCTATTCATCTATTGATGGATACCTAGGCTGGTTTCATACTTTGGCTATTGTGAGTTGTGCTCCAATAAACATGAGTATGCATGTATCACTATAGTATGATGACTTTAATTCTTCAGAATAAATTCTAAGGAGTGGTATGGCTGGATCATATGGCGGTTCCATGCCTAGTCTTTTAAGGACCCTCTATACTAATTTCTATAGTGATTGCACTAATTTATAATCCCATCAACAGTGTAAAAGAGTTAATTTTTCTCTACATTCTTCCTAGAATTTATTATTATTTGTCTTCTTGATGACTGCCATTCTGACTGGTATGAGATGAGGTTCGATTTGTGTTTCCCTAATTGCTGATGATGTTGAACATTTATTTTCATATAGTTGTTGATCATTTTTATTTCTTTTGCGAATTGTCTATTTAATTCAAGTGTGTGTTTAAACTGTTTATTAATTGGGTTATTTGATTTTTTTGGTATACTGTTTAAGTTCTTTATATATTCTAGATATTAATTCTCTGTCAGAAGAGTAGATAGCAAAGATTTTCTATCATTCTATATGTTTTCTTCACATTCCTAATAATTTTCTTTGCTGTGCAGAAACATTTTAATTTGATGTCATCCTATTTATTAACATTTCATATTATTTCTTGAGTTGTAGGGTTCCTGTTGAGAAAGTCATTGCCTGTGCCTAAACACTAGAGTGTTGATCCTACATTTTCTTCTAGGAGTTTGCATAGTTTCTGGTCTAATACTGAGTGGATCCATTTTGAGCAGACTTTTGTTTAGGGTAAGAGATAAGGGTCTATTTTCAGTCTTCTATGTATGAATAATTTGTTTTCCCAGCACCGTTTGCTTTTTAAGCCTGTCTTTTCTCCAATGTATGTTTTTTGGCACATTTGTCAAGGATCAGATAACTGTAGATGTGTGGATTTGTCTCTGGGTCTTCTATTCTGTACCATTGGTCTATTTGTCTGTTTTATGCTAGTACCATGCAATTTTTGTTATTCTAGCTCTGTAGTATAATTTGATGTCAGGTACTGTGTTGCCTCTAGCATTGCTTTTTTGGTTTAGGATTGTGTTATGGTTTAGATGAGGATTAACTGAGTGATAACTGAAGACAGGGAGGATGTGGGCATTGGGGGTGTGCCTTTGGGGTATATATTTTGTAACTGGTGAGTGGAGTCTCTCTGCTTTATGATCATCATGTGAGCCATTTCCCTCTGCACACTCTTGGGCAATGTTCTGCCACACCTGGAACCCTGAAGAATGGAGCAGACTGTCTAATGTCTGTCACAGGCTGTCACAGTTTCAGACTGAGACCTCTGAAACTGTGAGCTCCCAAATAAACTTTCCCTTCTCTAAAATTGTTCTTACCAGGTCTTCGAGGCACAGAAGCAAAAAAGTTGACTAAAACAGATTGTTTTGGCTATTCTGGATATTTTATTCTTCCAAATGAATTTTAGAACTGTTTTTTCTAGTTCTGTGAAGAATGTCATTGGTATTTCAATGGGGATTGCATTGAATCTCTATGTTGCTTTTGGTAGTATGGCCATTTTAACAATATCAATTCTCCTTATCAGTGAACATGGGAGATCTTTTTCAATTTTTTCTTCAGTGTTGTATAGTTTTGATTGTAGGACTCTTTTACCTCCATGGTTAGATTTATTCCTAAGAATTCTATTTATTTATTTGGTTTTTGAGGCTATGGTTAATGGATTTATTTTCATGATTTCTTTCTCCACTCATTCATTGTTAGTAGCAGGAAAGCTATTGATTTTTTTGTGTGCTGATTTTGCAACCTGATACTTTGACAAATTTTTTAAACCACAACTTTTATGAAATTGAAATACAGATTATATATTTCTGATGAGAATTTACCTTCACAATTTAGATATTTGTAAATGTAACCTATATACTGGATTTTGAAGATTTAGTATGAAAAAGAATGTAAAACATACAAATAAATTTTTATGTTGACTATGTAATTATTATTAAAGAAATTTTTTTTAGTTATAGATGGACACAATATCTTTATTTTGTTTATTTATTTTCATGTGGTGTGGAGGAT